CCCCTAGCCCTAGCCCTAGCCCGTGTCCTAGCCGTGTCCTCGCCGTGCCCTAGCCCTAGCCATGCCCGCGCCCTAGCTCTGTCCGCGCCGGCCCCGTCACTTCGCGCTGACCCCGTTAGTTTGTGCTGGCCCCGCTAGTTCGCGCCGGTCTCGCTAGTTTGGCACTGGCCTCGTCAGTTCGCGCAGGCCCCGCTATTTTGCGTTGGCTCCGTCTGTTTGCGCCGGCCCCGCTAGTTCGTGCCGGCCCCGTCCCTTTGCGCCGGCCCCCGTCATTTCGCGCCGGCCCCACTAATTCGCGCCGGCCACGTCGCTTCGCGCTGGCCCCGTCAGTTCGTGCCGGCCCCGCTAGTTCGCGCTGGCCCCGCGTTGGCGCCGGCCCCGCTAGTTCGTGCCGGCCCCGCTAGTTCGCGTCGGCCCCGTCGCTTTGCGCTGGCCCCATCAGTTCGCGCCGGCCCCTCTAGTTCGAGCCGGCTCCGTCACTTCGCGCCGGCCCCGTCAATTCATGCTGGCCCCGCTAGTTCGCGCTGGCCCCGTCACTGCAATGCTGGCCCCACTAGTCACCGGCCCCTGCTGATAACGCAAAACCCTCTTAGCTGAAGACCAGTGCTGAGGTCAGTGTCTGCCTGTGGCCACAAAGCGAGCCAGGATGCTTAGAGGGTATGCGAGATCTGGGCGAGTGCAAGTCATCAGGTACATGAGGCAACCCACCAGCTGTGCGTAAGGACCACTGGGCTCTACTGACTCCTCAGGAAATGGAGCGGAGAGCTTGTGGTCTAGAGGCAGAGGGGTGGGCCGTGCGGAGGAGAACTAAAGGCCGAAACTCTGAAGGACCTGGCGCACCAAGTGTGACTGAGTCAAGGTGATGGTGCGCGCTCCTCTGTCCCTGGAGATCTGCAAGCCAAGGTAGTGGCGCAGTTCTCCAAGGTCAGTACAGGTGTGTCTCTTCAGCAGCTCTGCCTTCACCGAGGCCAGTGCGTCCCTGTCTGCAGTGGCGAAGACCAGGTCGTCTACATAAACAAGGATGTAGAACGGAGTCTGGCCAGCACGAACGAAGAGCGAGGGGTCTGCAGAGGACAGAAAGAACTGCAGCTCAGCAAGGGTAGCACGTAGCGTGTCGTGCCATTCATGGGGAGCCTGCTGCAGGCCGTAGACGGGGCGCCGAAGGAGCCACTGGGTCCCAGGAGGGAAGGTACCAGTGAAGCCCTGAGGGCGGCACAGTTAGACCTGCTCATGTAGACTGCCCTGAAGAAACGCAGTGGAGAAGTCGAAAGAGTGAAGCTCGTAGTCACGCTGAGCTGCTATGTGTAGCAGCACCCGAAGAGTAGTCATCTTCGGGGTCGGAGCGAAGGTCTGAAAGAAGTCCACCTCCTCACGCTGACTGAAACCTCTAGCCACGTAGCGCGCCTTGAACACAGGCGGCTCTCCAGGGGGGCGCTTCACCTTGAAGAGCCACCGGCCATCGACTACGTTCACCCCAGGTGGGGGAACTGCGTCGATGTAGGTGCCGGTGGATCTCCAAGATGCCATCTCCTGCTCCATGGCAGCCATCCACTAAGAGGCCCAAGGTCCCGAAACCACCTCAGCGTAAGTGCGAGGGGTCGGGATGTCGAAAGCGTCTGGGTCACCCTCAGGGACTAGCAGCATGGAACAGAGATGGGGAGCAGCCTCGAAAAGGAAAGCAAGCTCGTACTAGCGGTCCTCCAGGACGTCACCGCCAAGGGCAGCAGCACCCCCGAAAGACGGAGGACAGGCAGGGTCGGAGACCAGAGCGGTGGCGTAGTCATGCGGCGGGTAGAGGCGAAGTCAGCGACCGCAGCAACAAGAGCGTCAAGACCCAAAACCGGAACAGATGGGTCAGTAACGAGAGAGGCAAGGACCCGAGGAACAAGAGGACGAGCGGCACGAAGGTAGTCAGACAGAGGGGGAGGCGCAATGGCAAGGGAGGACGGAGGAGGCGATGGCAGGAGGGGAGGACGAGCCACGTGGGAACAAAGCAACATAAGGTAGGAGCGCGAGACAAGGGAGACAGGGCGAGCACGGGAGGGACGGCGAGACCAGACGTGCGACGGAGGCGTCGGGTCAGGAGACAGAGGAGGGGACACAAGAGGGGAACGAGGAGGGAGACGAGCCGGGGACGAGTCTGGGGGAGGGAACACAGGGCCGTAGACCGTTAAAGGAGGGGACGGCAGGAGAGGAACAGATGCAGGATCAGGGGACGGAAGGTCGAGCTGGCAAAGGGCTGACACCGGGGGTGACTGCGGCAGCTGCGGCACAGCACCGACGCTAGGGCCGTAAGCAGCTCCACGGCCACCACCGGAACACTCCACTCCTGGAACACCCCCAGAGCCAGAAACCCCTCCAGCACCGGTACCACGCCCAACTCCAGTACCACTAGAGGCGACGAACGGCTGCTGCGGCAGGGACGGTGGCTGCGGTGGCGACGACGGCGGCGGCAGCGGCGACGACTGCTGCTGTGGCGGCGGAGGAGGAGACACCGCGGGGGAGGCAGGCGGCAAGGACTGGGATGCAGAACTACCAGAGTCAGCAGACTCCTCAACCGGAACAACCGAAGGGAGGGGAGTGACGTGAGACACACCGGACGGGGCAGGACGCGGGGGGGGCGGGGCTGGGGCTACCAGGGACGGGGGAACCAAGAACAGGGGGGGGGTAACCGGGGGACCGCGGTGTGGAAAGCTGTGGTAGAAGGAAATGGACTCGTCAAAGGTAACGTCGCGGGAATGAAAGAAACGGTGGGACGGCGGGTAGTAGAAGTGCCAATCCGACGAGTCAAGGGGGAAACCAAGGAAGACACAGGGGACGGTGCGGGCAATAAGCTTGTCCACGCCAGAGGCACGAACATGAGAAAGGCAGCCCCAGATGTGGAACGCAGACGCGACACCAGGAGACCCGGTCCAAAGAAGGGTCGGCGAAACTTGCGGCCACAGGTTAAGCTGGTGAGCGGCGTAGCGAACCGCGAACGGCCACAGAAAATGGGGTGCACCGGCGTGGATCATGGAGGTACGAGCCACCTCCATGACCAAACCGATGCGACGCTCAGCGACCCCATTCTGCTGCGGGGAATCGAACGGCCAGGGGGCCGGCTAGGAGCGGGCGTGACGGCAAGGGGGCCAACTAGGGGCGGGCGCGAACGGCCAGGGGGGGGGCAGCTAGGAGCGGGCGCGACGGCCGGGGGGGGGGGGCGGCTAGGGGCTACGGGCGGCTAGCGCGGGCGGGCGAGAGGAACCTATGTTCAAATTATATTTTATATAATTGTAGGCTTGATAGTTATGCTACTAACTGCATTCTACTGTAGGGGGGACAACCCCGTTCTTGTACTTCATTCTCTTCTAGTCTATCCCTCTTCTCTCTCGTCAATCTTCCTAGCTAAACCTCGGCCGCCATTCCATGGCGGCCTTCTCCTATCTTGCTAGCTCACTTCACAACATGGTAACAGAGCGGTTCGCTTCTAGCGGGCCTGCTCCTCACGCTTCCGCCGCGCTTTTCAACCGTCCTTTTAGTGCCGCCGCCGTCCCTCGCCGCGCTGCCATGGCGACCTCGACACTCAGCCGTGGCGGCCATGTCGAGGTGCCGTGGCGGCCTCGTCGCATGACTGCCACGTCGAGCAGCCGTGCTGGGCTTGCCGCCCTGACGTGGCGGCTCCGCCGTTCCACCTCCCCGTCGCGCCTCCTAGCCCCGTCGCGCCCCTCCTGGGCCCTGCCGTGCCTCCTAGCCCCGTCGCGCCCCTCCTGGGCCCCGTCGTGCCCCTCCTGGGCCCCGTCGCCCCCTCTAGCCCCGTCGCCCCCTCTAGCCCCGTCGCGCCCCTCTTGGGCCCCGTCGCGCCCCTCCTGAGCCCCGTCGCGCCTCCTCGCCCCGCCAGTAAGCGCCGCGCCTATGGCGCCACGCTGAAGTCCTGCAGCCCCACCACAGCAGCCCCACCACCTCTCCCTCCCCTGCATCTCCTCCTGCTCCTGCCGTAGCTGCTGTCTTCGGCTCGGTCGTCGCCAGCCCGTGCCACACCGCCGAGAGCCCTCAGCCGCCGCAGTCGCCGCCTGTCCTCATCGACACAGCCGCCTTGAGCACGAGCTCCGCCGCTGTCGTCATTGAGGCCGCCCAGATGCGGCCAGCTGCCTCTCGTCCGGGGGTGTCATCGCCTAGCACGAGGGGTCGATACCCGGCTGCTCACGAGAATGAGGGTGTCCGGGGTTAGGGGGTGTGTGTGTGGGTTGAGTGGGCTTGCCACTACCAAGCCTAGGGGGTGTGTTCAAATTATATTTTATATAATTGTAGGCTTGATAGTTATGCTACTAACTGCATTCTACTGTAGGGGGGACAACCCCCTTCTTGTACTTCATTCTCTTCTAGTCTATCCCTCTTCTCTCTCGTCAATCTTCCTAGCTAAACCTCGGCCGCCATTCCATGGCGGTCTTCTCCTATCTTGCTAGCTCACTTCACAACAACCTGACCTACTAATGATACCATATTTGAAAGAGAGAATGACTAGAATAGGAAGATACAGGGCAAGATAGACTAGTGTGCTGTACCCTCTAAGGCACAGACCTGTATAGTCTACAGCAACAATATAAGTTATGTTTGACACGTGCCATATGAAATTAATCCAATTACAAGCACCCCCAAAAATTTGACTAAAATCCCTATACGCATCTAGTGGAGTATATCCGAGGGAATACGGTACCACCTCACTGAGCTGCCACGCAACCTCCACCACGCTCAACCTCCAGGTGCAACTGCCACGCATGCAACTGCAACGCGCTTTCATTACACACGCAACTGCCGTGTGTAACCTCCGTTGACTCGCCGTACTCGTCGTGGACCATTCCACAGTATCACTTAAGTCTCGATACGACAGAAACGAGTTACGTACTTCTCCAATTCTTTGTTTCCAACAGATGCAGTTCACTCCAATGCGAGGCTAGAGGAGGTTAGGAATAAGCCCATAGCCTTATCATAAGAGTGCAGCTGTAAAGCTGATCCATTAGGTAGCAGTGTCAAATGTAGTTACTGTAGACTATACTGGATTGTGCCTCAGAGGGTACAACCCCTAGTCTATATACCCGTGTATCCTTCTATTCTACTCAACTACTACTCATTCTGATAAGCAGTACACCTGGATACTGGCAAACGTTTGCTTTAGACCCTTATGGCCCTAAGGTCTATACAATAGAATAGCAGCAGCAGTAAACGGTGCAATCGCGGGCTCGAGCTGAGAGGTGGAGTCGAACACTCTCATATCACGCACATAGCAAGCACACTGCACTAAACTCAACCCTGCCCACCAGAGAGATTCACAAAGATCCCATCAGCCCCGTCCGGAATGACCTCAGCAAACGCCCTCTGGTAGTCCGGGGCAGACGGGAACGTGAATGCAAGATCCAGCGGGGTTCGCGGCACCCACCGGGTGGCATTGTGCGCCAGCTGCTGCACGTCCTGCCCCACCTGTCGCACGTCCTCGTGCACCTGGTTCACGTCCGTCGCTAGCTGCTCCTTCGCCTGCTGCTTCTGCTCCTCCCTGCACTTCTTGTCTTTCTCCTCGCACGGCGGCGGCGGGGGGGGAGACTTAGAAGAGGTGGAAGGAGCGGCTGTGGTGACGTCCTGCGCCTGCGAGTTGTTCTGTGACACCTTGCCACCGGCTAACGCCTCGGCGATCTGCGTGTTGAACTGGATTTGGTTCGTCAGCATGCCCTGGTTGCCAGTCTGCTCGGGGACTATGTCCGGCAGCCCAATGGTCTTGCGGGACAGGCGGTAGTGGATGGAGGACCAGGGGGTGGAGAGCGAGGCGGGGAGAGGAGCGGGAGGAGGGGGGGAGGGACGAGGAGGAGGAGGTGGCGGGTGGGGAAGTTGAAAACGTTGGGTCAGAGTGGGTGGAAAACTGAGGCCGGCTGGTATTAAGGTGAGCACTCGTGTTAATGATGATGACGATGACAAGAGTGGCAAGCGTATGGCCGCTGCAGCGACATGTGTTGGCGTGTGAGATGCTGCTGCTGCTGGTGCATTGTTGGATGTAGGTGGTATCAGAGCGCCACCGGCACCTGTTGAGTGTAAGGAGCGAAACGAATGGCGCGTGGGATAGTCATAAGATGGCAAGGAGAAGAGAAGGCACTCGAGGAAGGCCTGTTTTAAGTGCAAACTTTGATTGCTGTCACCCATCCACAGCCAGAGCCGTAAAGAGCCGCGTAGGACCATGGAGTCCCAAGCACTGGTCACACACATTCACTCTCAGCTTCTTACCTGCTGCTCAACCATCCTCATACCAAACACCTTTGGCCGTACCTGTGTATGCCAGCAGCACGCAAGCACCAACAACAGCAGCAAGAAGAATCCACGGGAGAGCCCTGGCGGGCACGCAGCATCCACCCCCGGCCCTCCTCCCGAACGCCATGACCCCCCCCTCGCCTCGCCCACCGCACTCCACAGTCACTGCACCACACACAGCAGCGCCATCACCAGCGCCAGCAGCAGCAGGCCCAGCAGCAGCGCTGGCGCAACGCGTTTGTGTGCACGCGTGTGCGAGGACCCCTGGCTCGAGGAAGGTGCTTGGGGCAGCAGCAGGAAGCGGCTTCCACGAACCCTTGGCTGCTGCACAGCTGAGAGAAATATCCATGGCTGGCAGTTGGCTGGCAGTGCTCCGAAGGCCGTTGAGTTGGGTCAATAGCACGCTCCCGCCCCGGTTCTTGCTGGCTAGCGGACTGTTATTGGGTCTTTCTTGGCGGGGAACACACGGCGGAGGCGAGGAGATCAGATGGCGGGATGATAAGGAGAGGAGGGGTTCGCTCCGGGATAAGTGACTCCGCTGTCTGCTTGCTCGTAGCGACCACCGCTGGGCTGCTCAAGCCGTATGATGTTGCCGCGAGAGGCGCAAGGCAAGAAGCACGGATTTTGTCCGACGGTCGTACGCGAGAGTCGCTATTTCTTAGAGAGTTGTATGCGCGCCTACTGCTGGCAGAACTGCTGGCTATTAGTACTGGTTAGTGGTTGCAACAGTGGCAGTGTTGATCTCGTGTCGATGGAATGAATCAGCTGAACCAGCAGAATCCTTCAAGTACGACCACAGAAGCGCACAGCAGGCAGCAGAGATATAGGCAGCACGGAGATGCTCAGACAGCCCTGGCAACCTTGGAAACTGTGACAGCCGTGGAAGAAAGCCCCTCGCGGCATACTGGCGCTGCGAAACGACAACTACGATCGGCGGACTGGACTGATAGTCCAGGTGCCGACCTAGAACGACTCGGCAAACTGACCGGCAAGTGACGGCGCGGCATAACGGCCCCTAAACCCGAGGGCGACGGACGGACGACGCGATCAACGATCAGCAGCCTGTCGCGGACTGAGCGGGCGACAGGTGTCTGCGACACGTGGCGTTGCACGTGACATGTGACCAGCGTATGCTTCGTGTATTTCGTGTGGTCCGTGGATTTCCGTGCGCGCGGGCCTGGGCAGATCGAGGGATCGTCGTGTCGGACAGGAGTCTCGTAGAGTGATGGAATGGCAGCTGCACTGCGCCACAGCATGTCCATGAGACGCGGCGCACGGGGCGGAGGGGAGAAGGGGAGCGCCATGGCGTTGCTGTGAATGCGGGCAGTGGTCAGGCTGGTCAGTGAAGTCAGATCGTGAGATACGAGGCGACATGCTGGGACATGGGAAATCAGGAAATATGTCAATTTACATGCGGGGAACCGCTGGTGCTACTGTAGTGTGCAGCCAGTATTCTCTACAGAGTACATTCACTAAAGGTAAGGTTTCCTTCTGTTTGAGTGTAGTCTCAGCAGCTGTAACAAATACAATTGGAACAGAAAGTCCCCACAAAATGTTTTGTTGTTACAGTATCCCTGCCCCTCAAGCCATCTTATTGTTTCTCACAAAGTATACCCTGTAAACAGCTGGACAGTCAGAAAGCGTCCCTCTCTCTACGAGTGAACAAGGCTTTCGGCCTAAGTCCCAGAATTACACCCGACCTGTACCCTGATCCGGAAACTCTCCCCGCATAGACAAATAAAGTCCATACTCGTTCCACCACATCCCACCCCATTGACACAGGTTGCGGATCTGGGCTGGTTCCAGCAAGGGATGACTATGATCCATACAATCGCACAGCTCGCTCCCCCCTGGCACTTTTCCGCAATGCCGTAGCCGCCACGACGAATCCACAATCCCAGAGTTATCGCGTCCAATCGTTATCGTCGCAACCACCTCGATCCTGATTGGCGACTTATAGCAGCTAAGCCAAGATCGTCGGCCTTGCATGTGTTTCTAGATTCTAAGACGTCGGAAACGTTTAGGGCCATGGCTCCTCTCTGGTGGAGCCGCAGCACTCGACGCGTCGCGGCTGCTACTATAGCGGCAGCAGGAGCCGCCGCGTCCCTTGCAGCAGCCACCTCTTTCAACGCCGTTCCCCCCATTATTTCCGATAATTCCGCATCCCCTTCCCCCAATTCGACCGCGTATCGCGCATCTCCGCTGTTGCCGGAGCGAGCCGCTCGGAGAATGAGCCACGTGGCATCATGTGAGGGGAGCGCAGCGGACGCCGGATCCATCCCCGCGGTATCGGGGGAGAGCGCGAATGAGGCAACGAGAGCTGGGGGCGGAGAGGGTGGCGGGGAGGGGGAGAACGCGCCGGGCGTAGGCGGAGCGGGGCACCAGGCGGGATCCGCGGCGATCTTCCCGTTAAAGCTGCTGCAGGTACAGTCACAGTTGAATTTAGAGTCGCTGTGTCAGTGACCGTAAGAGGAGGGAGTCTTGATTGTACTGTACCACTCCCAGGTGCCCTCTCGATGCCCACCCAAACCCGTCTCCTCACTGACCATTCGCGGCCTTTTCCATCTCATAATACCTGCTCGCCCTCTCCTTCCCGCTTCTCGCTCGTCTCCCTTGTTCCTCATCCGTCCTATTCCATCTTCCTTTCCCCCCCCCTCCCCTACTTCCCTCTCCCTTCCGCATTGCTGGTCCTCTGGTCCATTCACTGCCCACCCGATGCCTCCTCCACCCACCTTTCCATCCCCCCTCTTCCCCGCCCTCCTCCCCTTCCCCCCCCCCCCCCCTCCCCCACCAGGTGCATGTGATGTTCCGCCACGGGGACAGGGCGCCCATGCCACGTGGCACGCCGTCAGAGGAGGAGGTGGCGCGTTGGGAGGCGAGGCTGCAGCCGCGACCCCCGCCGCACATCCTGCCGCACAGGCAGCACACACGGGGGATAGAGTGGCCGTTCGGGCAACTCACCAGGAAAGGTGCGTCCCTGCGGTTGTGGGCTTCTCTTCCTCCCCCCCCCCCTCTTCTCTCCCCCCCCGTTCCCACCTTACCTTGCACGTCCTGCCGCACAGGCAGATCCATGGGGGATAGAGCGGCCGTTTAGCCAACTCACCAATGTCACTTTATTTTGCTGAACCTGGATCCCTTCCCCAACCGACCCCCCCCCCCCCCCCCCCCCCCTCTCTCTCTCTCTCTCTCTCTCTCTCTCTCTCTCTCTCTCTCTCTCACGGTCTCTCTCTCTCTCTCTCTCTCTCTCTCTCTCCCTCTCTCTCTCTCTCTCTCTCTCTCTCTCTCTCTCTCTCTCGAACGGTCTCTCTCTCTCTCTCTCTCTCTCTCTCTCTCTCTCTCTCTCCTCTCTCTCTCTCTCTCTCTCTCTCTCTCTCTCTCTCTCTCTCTCCCTCTCCCCCTTCCTCAAAACCCCTCCCTTTGCCCCCACCCCCCTGTTCCATCCGCCCCCTTTCCCCTCGTCGTGAACTAAATGGCAGGAGCGCGAGAGGCAGAGTCGCTGGGCTGTGCGCTGAGGCAGAGATACGCGGCCCTTCTGGGACTGGAGGGTGCAGGGCTCACTGGGGGCACTGCAGGCGCTGCTGCTGATGCTGCTGGTGATGCTGCTGGTGCTGAGACACAGGCTGCAGCAGAAGCGAGTGAAGCTGTTCATGATTCCAACAAGGACAGCAGCAACAGCGGCAGTAGTACCACCACTGGCAGCAGCAGCAACAGCACTGGTGCCTCACCAGCAGCAGCATCGTCATTGATTAAGATCCGCTCGACCAATTTTCCTCGGACATACATGACAGGTGTGTATGAAGGGGGTATGTGTCTGTGCGGGAAGGGGAGAAATGTTAGGCCATTCTCTCGTGCTCACTCTCTTCCCCCCAACTCAACTCTCCCTGCTACTCTCCTCTCCTGTTCTGTCCTCTCCTCTCCTCTCCATTTCCCTCCTCCCCCCCTCCCCTCCCCTCCGCGCCCCTCAGGCTTCTACGTGTTGCAGGGCTTATTGGGGTCGCAGGAGCGAGCAGCGCAGGTGCCCATCGGCATATGGGGGGAGGAGGACGAGAACCTCTATGAGAACGACCGATGCGCCAGGTGGGGGAGAGGGAGGACGCGGATTTGGGAGTAGTGGCCCAAGGATGGGGGAGGAATGGGTGTAGAGAAAGGGGAATGGGAAGAGCAGGTGGAGGTGGGGTGATGGATGAGCCAGATGGGGTGGGCTTGAACGATCAAACCATCCCTGCCATCCCACAACCCCACCAACCACCACTCATGCCCGTGCCCTGCCCTTCCATGACCATGCCCATTCGCATGCAATGCCCATGTGCACACGCAGGGGTGTGATGCTGTGGGGCCGTGCGTGGAAGGACCTTTCTCGCTCCACGCGCAACCCCGATGGCTCCTTCACCGATGCTGGCTGGCGCGCCCAGTACCAGGTGAGACCCGTGGGAGGAGAGCCAGCCGGTGAGCACAGAGAGGTGAGCTGTGTGAGGAAAGCCCTGTGAGGGGGCCTGACCGGCAGAATGGGGCTCTGACCGGCAGAATGGGGCTCTGACCGGCAGAATGGGGCTCTGACCGGCAGAATGGGGCTCTGACCGCCAGAATGGGGCTCTGATCGCCAGAATGCGGCTCTAACCACCAGAATGGGGCCCTTACCGCCAGAAAGCGAGGTGTGTGAGATAGACATATGCGAGGCTGGCTGGTGCGCTCACTAGGAGGTGAGTGGTGGGCGGTGAGCAATGGGCGGTGAGCGGTGGGTGGTAAGGGAGGATGGGAGGAGATGAAGCTCACTGGGTGGTGGAAGCTGGGAGAGGGGACTAGAGCACCGCATGTCCCTGTGCGGCTCATCATCAGCTGGCACAGCTGACCGCGTTCATCCCACATCTGAATCCCTCCCTCCTCGCCTTCTTCTGCCACGCCACCTCCCTCTCCTTTCCCGCATGTGGAGCCCACCCATGCCTCCCCCCCCCCCCATGTCTCCCCCCACCCATGCCTCCCCCCCCCCATGTCTCCCCCCTCGTATGTCTCCACCCCCCACATGTCTTCCGCCCCGCATCCCTGCATGTCTCCCCCCCCACATGTCTCCCCTTCCCATGTCTCTTCCCCCCCCCCCCCTTTTTTTTTGTCTCGTTCCCCATTTTGTCTCCCGGTCTGTTTCTTTCTCCCATGTCTCCGCCCGCCTATCCCCCCCCCCCATGTCTCCCCGCACCATGCCCCATGAGCAGAATGTGCGTGAATCTATGCGATCCTTCTTCAACCTCCCTGCCGGCCGATTCCCCTGGCTCTGGGTAAGCTGCTTCACCGCTGCGGCCTCTTTGGTAGTCTTGCTGGCGCAAATACTATGAGATCAAGCTTCTATGCGACCATGCTCTGTAGTGACTTTTGAGTCGATTCAAAAGCTTCTATGCTACTATAGTTCCATCTATGCCATCTAAGCATAGTGGCATAGAAGCCATCTATGTAGTGACTAATGTAGTTCCTTCTTTTCCAGCTTTCCATCTCCCTTTCCCCGCTCTCCTTTTCACCCATTCTCCCCACCCGCCCTTCTTCCTCCCCCATCTCCTCCTCCCAAGGCAAGGGTTTCCTTGTGACTAATGGTGGGCGTTGTCACAAGGAAACCCTTCTCTGTCCCTTTAACCTTTCCCTTTCTCTGTTTTCTCCCCTCTCTCTTCCTCTTGTCTCCCCCGTTCCCTGCTCTCCCCCCTCCCCAACACTCCAGGCAGTGGACTATGCTGACTGCCGGCGCCATCATGGGGATCCCCTACCCCCCGCGCTCAACCCGCCTCTCCTCGACACCTTCCGCTACCTCCTCGCTCAAGACTACATGCGCACATTCTCTGTACGATTGTGGCCTCTCACACATTGCCCACATCCTCCTTCCCTCTCCCTCCCTGTCCTTCCCTGCGCCTCTCCTCTTGCCCGGCTCGTATATCGCCCAAGTCTGCATACTCGCATTCTCACTGCGCCTGTGCCGCCCTCCACCTTATCCATGCATTCTTTCTCCAAGTTCTCCATTTCTCTCGCTCAAGTCCATGTGCTCGCATTCTCGGTGCTCGTTTTCTTGCCTTACTTTACTCACTAACACACTCCCTTTTCCGACACCCCAGGCTTCCCTGCCCTTCTCGTTACTCTTTCCTCTTCTCCCTCTCCCCCTCCCCCCGCACCCCACCACCAGCATCAGGAGATCTGTCGGCTGTCCATGGGTCCGCTCCTCCACGAGGTGCATGAGAGCATGAAGGCCGCCATAGCTCTCAATGCCGCACCTCACACTCCCACCAGCAACAGCAGCAGCAGCAGCAGCAGTGCTGGTTATGATGCATCTCCGGCTTTGCCGACGAACACTGCGGTGGACTCTCATGCTCGCCCCACCTCTCCTCCTCCATCAGATAAACCTGCAGCCCCCTCCACTACCCACACGCCAACTTCCACCGCCCAACCGGCCTCTGTACCTTCTACATCGTCCGTGTCATTCCCATCCCCATCCCCATCCCCACACCCTCGCATCTTGCTCTATTCAGGCCATGACGCCACTCTCATGCCCCTCTCAGGTATCGCCTCTCTCCCTCCTCTCTCCCTCCTCTCTCCCTCCTCTCTCCCTCCCCTCCTTCCTCTCCCTGCTCTTTCGCTTACTTACACTCTGCGTATTCCAGATTACCCATTTCCCTGAAGTTTCCACAACCCACATCTACACCCCTTAAATCTGAGGATAGTGTAACAAATGCTATGTGAAGGTTTTATGGACGGTGTAACTCCCCATGTAGAGAGTAGAGAGGGAATGATGGTAACTTTTCATGTTGCCTGCTGCAATCGTTTTTACCCCAGCCTGCCCTGTCTTGTGTGTTTTGTGTCGGCTTGAGGCAAGTTTCAACGTCACCATCGTACTCAGCGTCACTCCCATTTGATATCCTCACCATCCGAACGCCATGCTCTTCAATATCCCCTCCCCTCCTTCCCCCCCTCCCCTCCACCACTGCCCTCCTCGTTCCCCCTTAATCCTCACTTCTCCCTGCTCTCCCATCTTCCATTCAATCACCGCTCTGCACCCCTTCCAACCGCAGCGGCGCTGGGTCGCCCGTTCCCCTTCTGGCCGGGCTACGCATCCTCCATTGCCCTGGAGCTGTGGGCGTCCCAGGACAACTCAACGCACTTTGTGAGGGTGCTCAGGAACTTTGAGGAAGTCGACATGCCCAGGCAAGTGCCCCCGGCGGGGGGGTCATGGCTTGACATGCCAGCTGCTGCTGCTGCTGGTGCTGCTGGTGCAGGTGGCGCTGGTGATGGCATTGTGTTGTGTCCGTGGGAGCATTTCTCACGCATCTTGGAGTGGAGTGAGATCAGCAAGGACCACTACGAGAGGGACTGCCACGTCGCCAAACCCAGGCTCTGAGCGTGCCCTTTTTTCTGTCACAGTCCTGACCTTTCCTTGCGCATGCAAGGATATATGCAACTTTGCTGTAACCTTTAATGAGGAATGACCCAATGCCTCCAAGCATTAGCTTTTTTTAAGGTATGATATGATATCCACTCATCATGGTCCTAATGTTTAAGAATTTACTGGAAGCAATGCAAAAAGGGTATGGCAAGTTGTTAGAATATGATAATGACTAGAAACAAGAGAGAACAAGGGAGATATAGGTTTGGAGTTGTACCCTCTAAGAACACATACCTTTCTAGCCTATAACTTCTACATACAAATATATGTATAAGTTGACACACCCCCTAGGCTAGAAGGGCAGTGCTGAGCAAGAAACACGCAGCTCAGGGTGGCACTACTAGTCCAACCTCTGAGACAAGGGTCCGAAGACCAGTCAGCAAGAGTACAAACAAGACAGGAGCAAACCAGGGCGGCACTACTAGTCCGGCCACTGGACGAGAAGCCACAAGGCTAGTATGAAAGGTATATATAAAGAGGAGTACACAATCACGGTCCTAGCAAGTGAGAATATACATGAACTAGACCAAGCTGCAAACAGTGCCGCTGATGATCATTAGGTGCAAGCGCCTTAGTAAAGATATCAGTTGTGTTGGCACTGGAGGCCAAGTGTACTATGTGGGCCTGGCGGCGCTGCTGAAGCTCGCGCGAGAGGAAGTACCGCAGCTGGATGTGCTTCGCTCTGCCCTCAAGTCGAGGCTTCTGACACAGGAGGATCATGGCCCTGTTGTCAGCGTACAGAACCGGGGCAGAGCTAGGCCGCTCACCTAAGTTGGTGAGCAAGAAAGTCAGCCAGCGGAGCTCCTGTGCCGCCATGGCACCGGCGTAGATCTCAGCCTCACAGCTAGACTGGGCAACAGACGAGGAGCGAGTGGACCTCCACGGGATGGCATCTGAACCAAGGCTAAAACTGTAGCCTTGAGAGGACCTGAGGGTCTCAGCGTCATCTGCCCAAGAAGAGTCTGTGTGCCCATTAAGGACCACTGGCCTGCGTCCTCCCAGCTCTATCCACATGCCCGATGTACTTGCTAGATAATGCAAAACCCTCTTAGCGGCCGACCAGTGCTGTGGTCGGTGTCCGCGTGTGGCCACAAAGCGAGCCAGGATGCTGAGAGGGTATGCGAGATCTGACGAGTGCAAGTCATCAGGTACATGAGGCAACCCACCAGCTCTGCGTATGGACCACTGGGCTCTACTGACTCCTCAAGAACTGGAGCAAAGAGCCTGTGGTCTACTGGCAGAGGTGTGGGCTATGCAGAGTAGAACTGAAGACCGAACCTCTGAAAGACTTGACGCACCAAGTGTGACTATGTGACGGTGATGGTGCGCGCTGCTCTGTCCCTGGAGATGTGCAGGCCAAGGTAGCGGCGCAACTCTCCTAGGTCAGTGCATGTGTGTCTCCTTAGCAGCTCAGCCTTCACGGAGGCTAGTGCGTCTCTGTCTGCAGTAGGGAAGACCAGGTCATCTACGTAGACAAGGATGTAGAACGGAGTTTGGTCAGCACGAACGAAGAGCGAGGGGTCTGCAGACGACGGGAAGAACTGCAGGTCAGCTAGCGTGGCACGCATCATGTCGTGCCACTCAGGGGGCGCCTGTTGCAGGCTGTAGACCGGACGCCAGAAAATCAATAGAGAAGTCAAGGGAGTGTAGCTCGTAGTCACGTTGTGCTGCTACGTGTAGCAGCGCCCGAAGAGTAGTCATCTTTGGGGTCGGGGCGAAGGTCTGAAAGAAGTCAACCCCCTCGCGCTGACTGAAACCTTTAGCCACGTAGCGCGCCTTGAACACAGGCGGCTCTCCAGGGGGGCGCTTCACCTTGAAGAGCCACCGGCCATCGACTACGTTCACCCCAGGTGGGGGAATTGCATTGACGTAGGTGCCGGTGGATCTCCAAGATGCCATTTCCTGCTCCATGGCAGCTATCCACTGTGAGGCCCAGGGTCCCAAGGTCGCATCAGCGTAAGTGCGAGGGGTCGGGATGTCAAAGGCGTCTGGGTCACCCTCAAGGACTACTAGCATGGAGCAGAGATGGGAAGCAGCCTTGGACATGAAAGCAAGCTCGTACTGCCGATCCTCTAGGACGTCACTGCCAAGGGCAGGAGCACCCCCGATGGATGTAGGACAGACATGGCCAGAGACCAGAGCGGTGGCGTAGTCAAGGGGGTAGCGCATAACGATGGGGGAAAGGCAGTGAGCTAGGTGGCAGTGCTAGCAGCGCGGTAGCTAGTCTCTAGTGCATGGAGGTGAGTGGCGAGGTCAACGACAGTGGGGAAGGCAGAAGGATCGGGGAATAGCATGGGAAGGATCAAGCGGCCAGCGGAGGCAGAGGCGGAGGCGGGTGTGGAGTTTCGCGCAACTACAGCATCTAGAAAATCCTTGGCGTTCACGACAATAGTGAAGCACGGATGCTCAGACAGAGGAAGTGCATGACTAATGGCGAGCTGCGCTACAGCATCGCGAGAGTCCCAGACAGCGCGAACGAGCGGAGCAGCAGCAAATGCCTCACTCTCAGCAATGGTGGGGTCAGAAGGGAGGGGCTCAGGCGCGGGGGGGCGAAAAAGCAAGCCATCAACATGCATAGCCAGGGAGTGCCCATCCTGGCGCTGACCTGTCAGGTGCCGGCGAAGATTGACCAGCCAGGCAGCGAAGTCAATCTCGTGCCCCTCCGCGTCCAGGCGAAGTACGTCGTCTGCCATCGTGCAGCCTCAGTGGCACAGGTCCACGGCAGCACAGCGTCACGGCGGCACACGTACTCAGTGGCACAGCGGCATAGCGGCGTGGCGGCAGGGCTCTCCGGCGGGAAAACCAGACGGGGGGCCGAGGAGGGCCCGAGGCGCGCAGAGCCGGCAGGGCGCAAAGGGCCGGCGAGGCGTCTAGGGCCGGCAAGGTGCAGGAGGGGCCGGGGAGGTATGCGAGGGGCCGGCAGGCGCACAAGGGGCCGGTGAGCACGAAGGGCCGGCTAGGCGCAAGGGGCCGGCAAGCATGCGAGGGGGGGGGGCGGTTCGGCTCGAAGGGCCGACTAGGCGCGAGGGGCCAGCTAGGTGCTAGGGGTTGGCGAGGTGCTAAGGGGCCGGCTAGGCGCGAGGGGCCGGCTAGGTGCGAGGGGCCGGCTGGGCGCAAGGGGCCAGCTAGGCGCGAGGGGCCGACCAGGTGCGAGGGGCCGGCTAGGCGCGAGGGGCTGACTAGGTGCGAGGGGCCGGCTGGGCGCGAGGGGCCGCCTGGATGCAAGGGGCCGGCTAGGCGTGAGGGGCCGGCTAGGCGCGAGGGGACGGCGGGCGCTAAGGGGCCGGCACGGCGGGCTAGGGGCCGGCGCGGGCGTGCGAGGGGCTGGCTAGGCGCGAGGGGCTGGCGGGCGCTAATGGGGGGGGGGGGGGGGTGGCACGGCTGGCTAGGGGCTGGCGGGGTACGTGAGGGGCCAGCGTGGCGCGCGAGGGGCAGGCGGTACGCTAGGGGCCGGCGGAGGCGCTAGGGGCCGGCGGGACGGAAGGCTAGGACGAGGAGCGGAAGCGAGTGGGCGGACCTAACCTACTCATGATACCATGTTAGAATATGATCATGACTAGAAACAAGAGAGAACAAGGGAGATATAGGGTTGGAGTTGTACCCTCTAAGAACACATACCTATCTAGTCTATAACTTCTATGTACAAATATATGTATAAGTTGACACAAGTACCTACTGCTATGTCAACAGCCTAGGGACTTCATCTCTGGTCGTCATGCTTCAAGCTTCCTCAATTGCACCATTCCCGCCACCCTTTCCCCTCCTCCCCTTCTCCACCGGCCGGATGTGCTCTGCTTTCCCACTCTTCCCCCTCACAACATGCACTCGCATCCCACACACACCCGCCTCCCCCCCTTCCTCTTACAAACCACTCGCATACACATCCACATGCCTCAATGCCTTAGCCTGTCTGAGCGAATCCGGAAGAGATTTCAGCGCCACACACTGCCTCAGCCAAGCGCTACAATTGGTTTAGAGGTCCCCTGATTGCCTAGTGTTACCCAAAAAAAAAAAAACTTTCGCACAGGGTTGGGACCGGTGGGGGTCCTGATTTTCAGTGTTCGGGCTGAGTTCTAGATTTTCTAATCAGGGTTACTTCGAGATGTGACTAAGCATGTGTCGCTGCACTTTCAGATGCACAATGCCCACTTGTAGAACATAAGCAAACCTTGCCTCTACTTTTTTGTCCTTATTTTGGCCTCTCTAGTTTTGACAGCAGCTTGTCACACTACTGTATCTCTCTTTCTGGCCTTACTTTGGCCTCTCTAGGATTACTGCATCTCTCTAGCTCTAACAATCAAAGCTTAATGCATCTGCCTCACGGCTAGGGGAGCCTAACTTGCTAGCTACTCATCTTGGTCGTCGTCATCCCAACGATCCTGTGCATCGTCCCCCACGAGCTCCCCACCTTCCTCCTCCATCTCCTCCCCTTCCTCCTCATCCTCTTTCTCCTTCCCCTTCTCGCTCTCCAATCGCTTCTTTGTCCTCGCCGTCATGTTGAAGGGGCGCTGCTTCTTGTACCTCTGCCAGATGTCGACAACTTCCACCCAGTTGGGCTCGTAGTCCAGCAGCGACATAGCCATCAGATCCGACAGGCGAGCGTCCTTGATGGCCCCGCGCTGCCAACTCTTGATTACATTCTGGCGCGAGAAGCCTCGTTCGCACTCCACCGTGCTCAGCGGCAGGACAGCCATCGCGATCCAGAGCTTCACCAGGTTAGGGTAGGCGTCCTGCCAGTCCGGCGTTTTCAGCATTGCGGAAAGCCCAGCGTGAAAGCCTTTCTCACACTTCGGGGCAGCAGCTCGGACGAGGCAGAAGTTGCGTAGCTCTTTGATGGCCTTGCGCTTGTCGATGTCTGAAACGCAAGGGAGAGTGAGGCGGGATATTAGAGGGCAAGGGTGGTGGTTCCTAGAGGCATTATTACACTAGGATGCGACTTGGAAAGTGTATTGGGTAAGGTTATAGGGGTTGGATGGGGCATGGTATTGAGGGAAAAGGAGTAGGTTCTTAGAGGCTTGGCGCATCAATGGGGGAGTTTGACTTACCCGGCACTATCTCGTACGACTGCTACGCCCGGAACAAAGCCACAAGCGACATCAGGTGCTCGAGGCAGAGGGCATTAC